GACCATTACGCTGTCAAAGTTCTATTTGATTGTTATTATTATCAAGGAAAAACGGATTTTCAGAAGGCTGTTTTAGAGGCCTGTATCTCGGCAGGTGAGGCCGGTAGGAGATTTCCTATGGGATCTTGTGATATTGTCTTTTGTGTTCTTTATGCATCTCTGAATAAAGCCTAGCGCTCACGCTAGGAAAGGTAACATCGATCAATTTGGTATTACTTATATCATGATACAGCTCATGCAGAGGCGGAGAGAAAGAAGTGAAATACACAAAGGAACATTCAGAATCGAGAAATTTATTTTTTGAACATCATGATGCTACTCCAGCCCTCCCCATCCTTTTCAGATTTCATCAGGCACGTAGTTGGGCCTAATTTCGCTCTGTAATGGGGTCCCTCCAGCCATACTTTAGACCCTTTGGGGACCCTCTTCCAAATTTTTCTTCTAGGCCCCCGAGACCTCATACCCGCCACTGCGCTTATGCGAAGATAGGTGTATGTATACAGGGTGTTTCAGTTTATTGTTGCATAACTTCAAGGTTCGATAGAACTTTTAAAATTAATGCATAAAGTCTATATAAATATGGGTCGAAAAATGCGTGGCTTCCGAAATACAGGGTGTTTAAATTTACTTTTTAAAATAGTTTTTTTTAAATATTTCGAACAATATTTGATGTATAACAGTGAAAATTGGTATACAAGGGTTTTTTGGTACGACAAAACGAACCATGGGCATAGTTTTACTGCAGCCGCTAGAGGGCGCTCTCTACTGTACCTGTAGTGTATTAAAATGACCGAAAATTTTTCTTAATGCAATTTTTTGCTTTTTGAATAAAAACTGATTCTTCGCACTTTTCTGCATAAAAAAGCTCTTATGTGCGTTTTCGTTATAGTCAGCCGTTTTTGAGATATTTCGATTTTTAAGGTCGATGCATTTTTAATTATTTATGGGAAAATTATATTTTTTTTTACATTTTCGATTTGGGCATTACAAGTAATCGAGATGATCGTTTAGATTGTGTTTTTAAACACATCAATAATTCCTAACACCAAATAAACACAAAAAAAACAGAATATTAATTTGTTTAATTTTCCAATATTATTTTTAACAAATTAAATTAATTATTTACAACAAAAATGCTATTGGATAGTTAGGACAAACATACAAAATCTAAAGTAGTTGCTCGAAATGTAAACCCAATTGTTCAATACACAATTCACATCTACGAATGATCAAACGTGGTATAGCATTATTCAAATAAGGCCATATTTCATCACATGCATTCCTGATTCTGTCTATTAGCATATCTCTTGTGTTTACGGGAGTCTATTACACTTTTTCTTTTAGAAAGCCCCACTCAAAGAAATCTAATGGATTTAGGTCAGGGGATCGTGGAGGCCAGGCGACTGGTCCTCCACGGCCGATCCATCTTTCTGGATAATTTTCGCCCACCCAGTTTCTAACTATTCTCGAATAATAAGCTGGACAACCATCCAGCTGGAACCACGCCAATCTTCTTAAATCTAACATAACATCATCCCACATATTTGCATTTTCAGCCTTTAAAAATTCCAAGAAGGTCGCAGCATTTAAGCTTACAGGCAAAAGGTAGGGTCCAAATAGTCGATTACGGTAGATACCAATCCACACGTTCACACTAAATTCATGCTGAAAATTTCTTTCCCGAACTGCATGCGGATTTTCATGCGACCAAATATGTTGATTATGAAAATTTACCACTCCACGTCTAGTGAAGCATGACTCATCGGTCCATAAAACGTTACTTAAAAACTCCCTATTATTATCAGTTCTATCAAGAATCCACTGACAAAATGTGATTCTTCGTTCTCCGTCCCCTGGCTGTAGTCCTTGCACAGGTTCCAAATGGTAAGAACGTCTATGGTCATTTCTAAGAACACGGTGAACATGGCTTGCTGAAATTCCCAAGGCACCAGAAACTCTCCTAACACTTGTGGTCGGATCTCTATCAAACTCACGCAGAATCATACGGGTAAATCTGCGCTAACGAACATTTATGTTTTGATCCCTTTGGAGATTTCCAAAACCATTTTCAATTATTTGGCGATGCACTCTTACAAATACTGAGCGAGTTGGATGTCGTCTGTTTGGAAATCTTCGTGCGTATTCTCTGGCTGCTTCTGCTGCGTTTCCATTTACAAAGCCATACACAAAATGAATATCCGCTAACTCTTGATTGGAGAATAAAAATGGCATTTTTGTAAAACTTACAAAAAAAAACAAGTAAAAAAACTGAATTTCGTGCATTCACAATTGCAAAAACACGTTTCAGGTTTCAACAGACAACAAAACTAACTGTCAACTAATTGACGTTTAACCTTATTCTGCTTTCAATTTCAAAAATATTTGCAGGCACAGCCTACTTCTAAAAATTATCGAGATACTTATTTTATCATAAATAATTAAAAATGCATCGAACCTTAAAAATCGAAATATCTCAAAAACGGCTAACTATAACGAAAATTCACAAGAGGGCTTTTTTATACAGAACCATGCCAAAAAACCCTTGTATACCAATGTTCACTGTTAAACATCAAATATTGTTCGAAATATTTAAAAAAAACTATTTTAGAAAGTAAATTTAAACACCCTGTATTTCGGAAGCCACGCATTTTTCGACCCATGTTTATACAGACTTTACGCATTAATTTTAAAAGTTCTATCGAATCTTAAAGTTATGCAACAATAAACTGAAACACCCTGTATTGAAATGTACTATAGTCACTCTTGGTACGCATTTTTTTAGTTCATCGTTTTGATACGTGAGCTTAGCTCAAGTGACGAGTCCGTAACGTGTTTCCGCCTCAACTGTCACGCCCTGAGTAGGGCCATAATCTAAATACGCGCTGCGGAAAGATTTATGTCACGATAGAAATTCAATCACAGATTTAACGATTATGTTTGAAGTACTACATCTCGTTCACATAAAAAAGCGAAAACATCCAGCATGTTTGAAGGCAAGATATTCGGTAAAATTTTTTTCTTGAAGATCGTCCGTTGCTGAACGTTCCAGTACAAATCGATTCCTGTCCTATTAATACCAAGCAGTTTTTTGATATACATCAAAGTGTAGATCGGTCTCAGAATAATCCGAAGAATGAAACCCTTAAGATTTTCCCATATTTTGGAAACATCCCAAAAAGATTATTACTCAGCTTCGTAATCTTCCAATAAAAACCATGTTTCTTTAACTTTCCCAACTAACACAGCTGAAAAAACCTACACACCCGAGAGACCACTACGAACCGGTTGACTGAATTCAGACTGGAGGTTCCGCTCCGAAGCCCAACGGTGCTTCTTTTTCGGAGCAGGCCGTGACGACGCGATAACGCCGTCGCTCTTTTGTTTCTGGCGGCGGCGGCGAAGACAAAAACGCGTCGAGAACGGAAACAGTGGGAGGGATCCCGGCACCGCGGCACTCCTCCAACAGCGATTCAATTCTTTTACGGAGTACATCTGCCAGATTGGAAACGCGTTATTATGCTAAGAGAACTGTTCAGGGGCGGGTCAAAGAAAGGGGAAGGGTTCTGAAGCGGTTGCACTCACAATAAATATGTCACTTTAGTAGTAAAGAAGCCACAATTACTCAAACTGTTTTGTCTCAGATGATCCATTTCTGTATACTGTGATGGAGGAGGAGTAACTAACAATTATGACTCATATTAGAGTTGCAAGAATGATTATACAGTATTCCTTAATCAGCATTGTATACTGTAAGAACATTGGCAAAACCCTCTTAGAACAGCTATACAAGCGGAATGGGCACACCTAATAGGACACTTCAGTCATTTAAGAGGTTAAATAAGTGCTGCAGGTAACAGTTATAAAACAAACGTGTAAGCCTCTTGCAGCCGCTATAGGACATTTGCGTCAGTGCAAGATTCAGTTTTTGTCAACTATACAACTATTCTGTTACGTGATTCTACTTTATTGCAACCAAACTATTTCTTATGTATTGTATAGACGAAGTGAAGAATATATAACTAACACATTCCAGTCATCTTGTTTACTTACATATCGGCCATTGTGAATTTCAGACACAGGTATATTATAAACTTCTACACTGTGATATAGGGCTATTGAATTACTTGCGCAGCAAATTTTATTGTGATTATCGTGCAGATTAGTTACCCAATCTCTACGGGCTTCGTATTTGATTCATATTTTTACAATGATCAAAAGTATGTCTAGATTTTCAAGATGGAAAACTGAACTTATCTGCGTTAAATATTCCACAAATCCTATATTTAGACACGATTACACTAATGTTTATCACTTTATATCTGTAATTTCGGACTGAAACATAATTATTTAATATTAAGTAGAGGAATAAGTGTTTGCTCAATATGGCGGCTGGTTGTGTACAATCATGGCATCGTCCATGTTGTGGATGCCACAACACAACCATTTTGACTAACGTGCAAATATGCCGTATAAAATAGTTGTATAAACGTTTATGCAACAGTTAAAAATTTTCCCTAGGTGTTGTATAACTATGCTATAAGAATATTTTAAACACTTCATTTTAGAGCAAATATGTTACAGAAAGCAAATCTGCATTCCATACAACATTAACCCAGCATTTTGTTGTTCAGGCAACAACAATAGAGAGCTTTTGTGGCTGAACGGTTCTTTTACCAAAAGCTTATACCACTACTTTGCTAGTTGGGTAGATAACAAAAACCTAAACTTTAGCCCACCAGGCGCTCCAAGGTTTTCTCAGGACAGAATCGTCACCCTTCCCAAACTATTCAAGAAGGTGATATGATCCGGCGTTTCACTTATATGAGATTATAAGAGGCCAGCTGTTTCCTATCGTTAATTCTTGTATTAACTGGTTGCTCAATATTTTGGGCTGGGGCAAAAGCAGTGCACGTATCCGGTGTTCATTTCTCAGAAGCGAATTATCCGAATATTGTTTAATCTTACCCCTAGAAAGTCTTTTATTAAACAAACTCTCACACTTATTCATTTTCTTGGCTACGTAGCCTAGCATGTCCTTTAGTCACTCTAATGCTCAAATGCTGAGCACGCTCCACAATATCCTTCCGCTTCTTTGAAGACACACCATGTGCCATTTCTGCACAGTCTTTTCTGTTCTGCATCAGCAAAACTTCCAATTCTCTGACATTGTGTACCAGGACTTGTCTGAATCCTGTGGGGAGCATATGACGAGTCTTTGCATTAGAACCATAACCAATGTTTGGCATAAGAAACTGTCCCTTGAAGCGCCTTCTCACCCTGTTGTCAATACCCTTGGGTTTACGCCAGTTGCGCTTTAGCTTGGAATATCGATCAGATTGGTGCCTGATAAATTTCTTTCACCTTTTTTTGACTATAGTCGGCCTATAAACTGGTCGAATGGCCATTGTGGATGGATTATGCCGATATTTTCAGGATATGATGAACGTGTTTTGTAAACTGATATTTGTCAGAAATCGTGTATTGACTCTACCGCATATTTACTTATGTACGTTAAGTTGCACTGTATCGCAATTTATTCCAAACACCAGTACATAGAACACCCAAACTCGAAACTTCACCCATCTTTAACTGTATTTCGTTTCACAAAAAATTACCTATTAGCATAAAATCAGTACCTGCGAATTGTTTGTACAAGAGAGAAATTACTGAACTGCTTCTGACTAAAGCATCTTATAGCAGTAGACGAAAGAGTCTTTGATCTCAAGTACTCTTTCCTATTTCATTATCTAATTATGTTTGTAAAGTTTTCCTGTGCTAATTATATATTTTTTGAAACATAAACTTATGTACTACTTGTTGTTATTTATGCTTTACACTATATTCATCATTTGTAGTTATTTATTTTTCTTCTGACGTGCCAATTTTAGTCTAATCATATTAGATAAAAACACCTCTGGTTTGCGAAATAATTGTAAAGTCTGGTTTTATTGGTGCAAGTTGTTCAAGGGGGTATTTACAACATGGACTCATAAAATGCATACACCATTTTTTGTGGGAAAACTTTTTATTCGACAACAAGGAATGAGAAAACGTAATTCTTGGGAATCAATCGAAAGTGTTGGTAGTAGCGGAAAAACTCTCCATATAAGATTCTTAGGTATTTATGGGACCTACAAAATGAGACCACACGTAAAAAGATCCGACTTAATGCAAAAATGTTATGGCCGAAAACAAAGGGAAACTGCAGGTTTTGGCACTAGTTCAAACTTCTAAGTAACAACAACGTGTGGTCTCATTTTGTAGGTCTCATAAATGCCCAAAAATCTTGCATGAAAAGTTTTTTTGTCCCTTTCAACACTTTCGATTGAATCCCAAAAATCACGTTTTCTCATTCTTTGTTGTCAAATAAAAAGTTTTCCCGCAAAAATTGGTGTACCCATTTTGTGCGCCCATGATTTAAATACCCCCTGAACAACTTGCACCAATGAAACCAGACATTACAATTATTTAGGGGAAATTTGCTAATGTGATTAGACTATGTACACATTTGTATCGAACTGGTTAAAATAATCAAACAAAGACAGCAAAAGTAATTAATTGTATAATTTCTCTGCTCACACAGAAAATGTATAATTTGTCTGATAATCATGTTACCGGGTGATTCGGAAAAACGTAGCACTACTCCTAGAGTAGAGAGTACATCAAAAAATAACAAAAAAGTGATAGGTCCTAAAATAACCCATCATCAAGATAGATGATGTAAATTTCTACGCCACTTATAGGATTTAATACAATAAAACATGAACATTGTTCAAATAACGCCATGGTGAGTTAGAATTGCTCTCCTAATACAGTGCATACAATTTTCAATGTCAAACTTTACTAGGCGCACTGCTTCCAAATTAGAATTGAAGCATGTTATACGGATTTGACCCTTCACAGAGACCTCAACAGCCCTTATCTAAGGGACTTCATCAGACAACAAGGGCAGCTACATCAGTAGTGGAATCGCATAGCAACCCTTTGTTGCGCAAATCAGTAAACCACTCCATCAAGCAAGTTCGCAAGAAGACAAGGTCGTAGCTCGCACTGTGAACAAAATTAAATCGTGCGGCTTCAGGTCCAAAAATAATTAAATATTTTTTATACAACAAATCTAGAAATTAATTTAAGGAACAATTTAAAACTCCCGAATAATAGTTAACAATGACAAGACACCTTGACTCACTTGTTTCTCTTTGCTCTCCCTCCTTCATTTACTTATTTTAAGAATCCTTCATATACGGGATGGTTCAAAATCAACGGTAGTACTTGTACGTTAAAACGCCGCTAATAAATAGTTTTTGGAATTGGTTGTAATAAAAATAGTTCCATCTCACTATAACATTTCAATCATTACAACGCCTTGTATCACAAGTATTAAGAGAAAAAAGTATTTCAGGACGTGGGCTGTTATTCTTCATCGCACCAAAAATATCGAATGCCATTGTATCTTTAATTTTCTTGTATACTTCTGAAGGTTTATTTTTGTATTCCTAGAATACTCGTTGATAGAGAAATTGAACGATCTCGTACCTAGTTAAGGTGAATTGCTATTCCATTTTTGGTGGATGTGCTCTCAATAAGTATGTAGCGCATTCACCTTAAAATGAAATTCCTCTATAATAGGCGTTCATATTGCTATCACCCACAAGTGTCATACTAAAAAGTTGTCTGCTATGTAAACGCTCGAACTTATTCACAGAACTGGGATAAAGTCAGGCGTCTACGACAGCAAGTAACTTGTTTGAAAGTATCGACATATCGAAAGCACTCCCCTTCCGAATGCTTTATAACCTTTTTATTTAGGCAATAATTCAATAGAGTTTGTTATAAAAATGGTAATAGAAAATTGAGCTATGGCAACATCTCATACGAGGGGCACGCTGTATATTTTGAGATGCGCATTAACTATACTAGTTAAAACCGGCAACAGTGCACTATTAGAAAGAGCAGTCCTTTATTAGTAAGTCGCCGCACTTAGTGCACTTGCAAGCGTCTTACAATGCACGTGGTGTGAACAAATTTAAGGCGAAACATGGAGTTGTCTCGAGAGAGTTATCGCACTATGATTTACTAAGACCTTAAAGTCGGTTTAACTAAACATCAATGTATCGAACGGTTACAACATGCAGTTGGTAATGAAACTCCGTCTCGGGCTAGTGTGTTCCGAGAGGGCGTGTTTCATCGGTTGATGAAGAACGTAGTGGTAGGCCATGTTCTAGTGTGACTCCAGAAAACATTGCTAAAGTTAAGCGGCTAACTGAAGAAGATTCTCGCTGCACATATGCGACTATAGAGGCAACTCTTTGGGTAGGATCCGTAACAGTGCTCACCATTTTGCATGATCATCTTCGTTCAAAAAAAGTTGTTGCAATCCTGCATCACGACAATGCCCCTAGCCACACTGCCCAAATAACTGTAGACTTTGTACGCCAACGCCACATCGAAATGCTAGAACATTCGCCTTATTCGCCAGATTAGGAAATGTGTGACTTCTGGCTCTTCAACAATTAAAAAAAGAACCACCTGCATTTTCGTCCGAAGAGGAATTCGATCAAGCAATTAATCAAAAAATAGTCTATAGTTTTCGTGTATCTCGAAATATGTAGCGTGGCCCTCGTATATGTAGGACGCATTATGCATTCTGAGGACCGGCACGGGTATCATGTAAACAATCTATAAAACGTCAAAAAAACCTACAAGATGTCAACTTGCAGACTAGGTAGTTTTTAGGGCGCAAACAGTCGTTCCACGTTTGCTCACTAGGATCGTTGTGAACGTCCATCTATGGAGGAATCACTCAACTAAACTACGCATTATCGGTTGCATAGTTTTGTGAGGCTGGGTGATCCGGGTCTGTAGTCTTTATCTCTGAGAAGAAAGTTGGTTGAATAGCAAGATCGCATCTGGATGATTATGTGTATTGGTGTATCAAATCAGTGATATTTGGTGTGTGAGAAAATTATTACTGAATATGCCGAATATGACGGGTTATTTATATATTGTGCTTTCTGAAGAGAGGTAATGTTCAAAGTTATAAATTACGAAACACTGAGGAGAATTACGGGAAATCATCACCGCGCCCGCTTGTAATTCGACAGTGTACAGTGAATATAATTATTTCTTATCTCTCTCATTTTTGAAATTCAGCAAATTTGTATATGTAATTTCCAGAATGGATAAGAAAAAGTGGATGCGCAACTAATTTCTAGCTTTGAATCTCAATTAAGTGTATTTGAGACAAGGACCCAATGTAATTATCATCAACACTCACAACTTACAGCTTAGACCTCCAGTGATGCCATCTCAGAAGCAGATTTTACATCACATCAGAGCCAAAGATTGATAACAAGCCGCATGACGTTTAGGAAACACGTACAACTAGGTGCTAAGTTAACATCTTATAGAATAACCTACATAATGTCAAAAAAACTTGACAAGTTACGACACAACTTCACGGTATGGAAGTTGCCTTTGAAGAAGGTAATATTTCTTGTATGCTTAATAATAACCCCAAGCCCAAGCGCAATGAAACCCGGTGCATCCGAATGCTAAGTAGGGTCTATTCCTCAAATACTACCTTATCAACAAGTGCCTCCTTCATTTAATCGACTTTGTGCCTCGTACAACTTCCGAGGGGTCGAACACCCAGTGTATTACAAGGTTCGACCAGATTTCTCTTTCGGTTGCCAACGTCTCGTTAGCATGGGTTGAATTGTGAAAAAGCTTCATCTAGGCACTGCCCTGAAAGTTCAATCTACACAACGGTGGTTTTTTAAATTCCATCGATCTTTGATGTCATAAAGATGATACTTAGGGACGTGGCGGGCGACCATGTACTCCAGAATCGATATGCATCGCTCCGTGATGCTGCAACTTGGGGAATTCATTACCAGATGGCATAGTAATGTAGTGTTTGTTCGTTACCACCACCGGCATCGACCTATACTTTAAAATGAATGGTGATTGCAGACGCCGGCATGCATTTTAAAGCTGTGAAAATGCAGATCCCAGATCATCTACGTCTATACAGCACATGCATCCAATCGATGTTTGAGTTGTGACCTGCATTACTCCCTGAAGCGCAAATACCAGGCAGCTTTGCTTGGAAAGTTTTATCAGTTTTTAAGATTGATGGTACGTGGCGTATGTTACTTGGTGTAACTTTAGCACCAAATTGTAGACCAAAAGACAGCGCTTCTGTAACTCTGCAGAAACCTTTCCATTATTTCATGTCCGATGC